TTAAGTTAATCATCATACATCAGCTGCATTTGCTCGTGCACAACGACCGCGTCGAGGTCGATGGCAGTGCAATTGTTAATCGCGTAGAGCAGCCGCTCCCTCATTATGGAAACGGAGGAATACAAGGGCATGACCAACCGGAAGCTGCAAGTGGCAGCTGTAGGCAACCGATTGTCGTTAATGGCGGCTCCGCGCTGCACGAAACAGAAAACAGCAGAAATAAGAAAAACTGCAGCAGATGCCTCTGAAAGCGTCGTTGTGGGCATAGAGAAACCCACGGAAATAAGAACGAACGCATCTATACAAGCAAAACAAATGCATAATCATGGAAGCAAAACTTCGTGCAAGGACTTACATCAACGGTTTCGTAATCCACTGTCATTCGCCAGTCACTGCTGGCAACCGGGAGGCGCGAGCGACCGCATACGAATCTGCAGAGAAAAAATATGGAAACAAAATACACAACAAATACGATAAAAAATAAATTGAACACACAATAAGTAGAATACGCAACAAATAAAATGCAGAACAAATCAAATACACAGATAAAATACGAGAAAGCTAAGTACACAACAAGCAAAATTCACAAATAAGATACGAAACGAACCGAATACACGACAAACAAAAAATATGCTGTTGTGGATTATTTCATTAGTAATGTATTTGTTTTGTTATTTATTTATTCGTGTACTAGCCAAGGGAAGCTGCTTACCTGAGGAAGCGCTGCAACTGGTCGTTAGTGAAGGACTCAAGGATTTCAAAGAGCTGTGCCTTCAGGCGTTCTGATGAGCACTCCGTGTGTTCCTTTAGCGTGGCCACATCAACTTCTCGGTCGCCGCAGATGCGATACTCCAATCGCCTGCATTCATCACAAAGATATGTAAACTATGTCTGCATCAGGTTGTGCTGCTCTTCTTTTATGAAGACGAACACATACTTTTTAATCATATAAAATATATTCTTGCTTCTTTTTCGCACTACTTGATATAATATGATTGTGTTCATCATATCTCCGGCATAATCAAAAGGTTCACATGGACTTCCTCCACCTCGCACATATAACACGAAACCACGGGAAAGCTGCATCAACCGCGTGGAAAGCGAATAGCAAGAGTTGAGGGTTTGGAGTTTAAAACATTACGCCTGAAGTTTTTGTTTCAGCTGCTCACCTCCAGTCAAATAAAAGCCGCAAACGGCCCAAAGGCAAGACGGCAGCGATGCCTCGGAGTACAGCTTCGATGCCTTCTTGTCCCTCAAGGAGGCGAAATCGTTCAGAGAGACGAATGAAAGTAGATAAGTTGAACGCAGTGACGGGGATCTCTGCCCCCCCCTCCACCAATTCGCACGATCGCCCGAGAGTATCCTCCGCGCTGAAGGTCATATCTGACAAAGAGGCCTCCATAGTTGCATCCCAAAATTGTTGCGGCACTGCAGCCAGACGCCGCAGCGAACGCAGCATCTCTACAGCCACGCAGTCCGAGTCTGCAACGTCCTGCAGATGCAGAAAAACATACAAGCGCTCACAACACCTCTTGAAACACTCTTGCAGCTAGCTGCCTCGGCCCCCACCGCACGGCAAACTCCGAGTATCAACATCACCCTAGCATAATATTTTTTTCTCTCTCTTTGCATCACTGTATATACACCGCCTGCGGCGGCCTGAAACTGTGTCAAAGACGAGGGAGCCTCACCTCGATGCTGATGGGCGCTGCGACAAGCTTCTTCCACACGATGGGGTTGAGGGTAACGTTGAACGCACTGCCGATGCAGAAACACATCGCCATAAGGCGGCCAAGTGCCTCGTACATAAGGATGCAGAGATCATCTTCTGGATCCCCATCTGCGGCCCCTGCAGCCGATGCCTCCTCTTGTCCTCGCGAAGGTGTTGCCGTTCGGCTTGCCCCGGCAGCAGATCCCTGCAGCTCCTCGTGCCTCACCGTCGCCTCGAGGAAGGGGTCTATGAGCGCCTCTCTGTATGGCAGCCCGAGGCCTTCGGGGTCGTGGCCCCGCGGGAGCACGCGGCGGGCGGGGGAGGGAAGAGCACTCAGCAGCGTGTCAGAGGTCCAGAGTGTCTCGGTCTGCAGATGCAAATTTCGGCGGAGATGGCTGTCACGGGGGCTGTTAAGAGTAACCGCCGTTGTGTCGCCAGGGCTTTCGCCTTGGAGAGAACCTCCATACATACATGTCGTTGAAGCTGCCCGCTGCACATCATCTTCTTCGCAGCGTTGCGAGCTGCTGATAC